ATCGGCTCGAGCCAGAGCCTTATATATATATATATGTATATATATATATATATACATACATATATACATACACATATATGTGTGTATGTATGTATGTACGTATGTAAGTGTACATCTATATATATATATATATATATACGTGTATGTATGCCCATATGCTTATACACTCGTACACAGCAATAGCGATGACAATCACTCAAAGTCAAGCTTGCACTCTAAATTGCAACCTTGAACACCTTGAACCCCCAATGTCCAAGCAAACTCCCAATCCAAACCTTCCCGAAGTCCGAAACCCATGAGCTCTAAAGACGAGGCCTTGGTAATTAGAGTAGCATTCCTTCAAAGTCGAATCTCCCCCTAAACCCGAAGCCCTAAACCCCAAAAACAGATCAAAGCCACCGTCCACGATCACCAGCCTAACCAGAAAGCTCTAAAGATTGCCTTTAATCAACGCATACAACGTAAGTGAAAGGGGCCTTAGGGCATGATCCAAGGTACAGCTTTTAATTGACGGGTATTGAGCTCTGTGAGTTTGGCCTTGTCTTACACTTCTCGCTCCATCCAAGTGGGACTCGCATGCCTCATCGTATCTAAACAACGGCCCATGCGAGTTGCTGATTTGCCTCGTGACCAGGCATAGTAGAAGGGCCTTGATCAGTTCTAATCGGATTTTGGGGTATACTACAGCGCATAATTAGATGAAAGGTTCAAAGGACTAGGATGGCACCTCTGTGTTGCTTTTTCTCATCACGACGTCTAGGCAGTCATGTCTGGAACATCTTTCGAGCCTAGGGCGTCGTCAGGAAACTCCGAAACGGACCCTGCCGAGCTGGAGGAGCCTGTTTCGGGGAGTCAACAGAACACGGAGTACTCTTCTGATAAGGGTTCTACCACGTGGGTTCTAAAGACATGGTCCCAAGAATCATCATCCTACTACCTAAGGCTTTCGGGTCAGGTCCTACACCTTGGGGGTAAAGCCCTACTGCTCGAGCTGCTCAAGGTCTCGATTCTCCGATACGCTTCCACCATCAAAGCCCTTGTGAAAACAAGCTTGATCGAAAATCTCTGAACCCCGATCATATAAAAAAACAAACTCTAAAAACTCGATGAGCCTGAGCCGTCGGAGGACATCTTTGGACAAAAGGCTTCCTCCGGCGCGCCGCTGTCGCTCCCCTCGCTCCGCTCCTTCCGCTCGCTCCGCTTCGCGAGGCCGCAGGACTGGTCGTCTGAGCTGCCGCAGTCCTGGGGTTGACAAGCCCTACTTAGAGGATCATGGGACTTAGTAAGGGTTCTTAAAGGGCTCCGTAAAGGGATCCATAGGGTTCCTTAAAGGGATCTATGGGGTTTAGGGTTTAGGGTCTACTTAGAGGATCATGGGACTTAGTAAGTAAGTGATATTTGGGGTTATAAGTCCCCTAAGTGGGGTTATCCTAATTATAACCTACTTATAACCTTACTTACTAAGTCCCATGAGCCTTCAAGTAATATAGGGGCCTTGACAGTTAGAACAGGGTTCCTTTCAAGGGTCCCTATAAGGGCTAGAATAAGGGTACTATAAGGGATTTAGGGAGATAGGGGCCTTAACAGCCAGAATACAAGCCCTAAAGTAGTTCCTTTTGGGGGTTCATATATTCAATCCTTTCAGGTAATCCCAAAAAAGAACTACTATGGGGCCTCTGGGTAATACAGGGGCCTTAACAATTGGAACAGGGTTTTGGGGCTTGTTATACTATACGTATAATAAAGAAACTTTACGCCCTTCTTGTCCTGCTCCAGTGAAGACTCTGAAGACGAGAAGTCGGGCATGCTCAGAGCAGGTGGCGCACTCTCCATCCTTGCTTTGCTTGACTTTCTGAAGCCGTCCTTACAATCACGGTAGTCTTTGCAAAAGATGCGGCGAAACTTTTCAAACTGAAACTCATCTTCTTCGCGACGTCCTTCGTCCAAGATGTCCTCAACAACACGCGCCATTTCCCGTGCCTTTCCCTCTTTGCCCATTGCCCTTGCACATCTTCCCCATGCCTGCGCAGCCCGAAGGGTCTCCGGATGATCGTTGCCCAGAGAGAGGGCCTTGGATCGCCCTCGATACACTTGGCTGAAGAGCTTCTCTGCCTCTTCCAGCTGCCCTGTGCGCATCAGAATTTCTCCAAGACCCATTCTCGTGCTCATCGTCTGCGGGTGATTCTCACCCAGCAGTGTGGTCTGGGTGCTTAATACCTCCTTCGAAAGATCCTGGGCTTCACTCAACTTGTCACACTGCAGGAGCACCTCTGCCAAATTCGAGCGTGCAATGAGGGTATCTGGGTGCGATGCACCCCATGCTTGCTCCAGCATGGACACAACGTCACGCTGCAAGGACTCAGCTTCACTATGCTCTCCGTGCATAGACAGAGCCATGGCCAAGTTGTTCATACTAACTCTGGTGAGATGCGAATGGCCGTACATGTCCAGGCGAAGAGCCAATATAATTCTGTGGAGACGAACTGCTGCTTCTGGCTCCAAGAGTCCGGCTAAAGCATTCGCAGAACGCAGTGTATCTGAATGCGACACACCCAGCACCTGGACATTTCCGTAGAGTACTGCCTTGCTAACACGTCTGGCCTCTTCACGATAACCGTAGTCAACCATGAGGGATGCCATGTCGCTGACAGCTCGCAAGGTTTCCGGGTGCAGAGGGCCACACGTCGTTCGAAGACCCATCGCCGCTTCTTTCAAGTGAAACTTCGCATATTCCAAATTCCCCGTAGACTGATAGAGGCGGCCCAAGCGGGAAGAGGCAGCCAGGGCACCCGGAGACGTTGCACCACACGTCTCCGCCAGATGATCCACGCGACTTTGGAAGACTGAGAGACGGAGGTCTGATTGAACTTGGACGTTTTGGACTTTGCCATCCTGTCCTTCGAGCCGCACGACCCAAACATCTCGCTTCGGGTGCTGCTGACGGTTCTTGTAATCGCATCCGAGACCTACTCCTTTGGCCGACAAATCCGGTGGCTGCCGGTGGTGAATGTCGTATGCTAAGCTCTCGGGCACGAGCAAGGGCAAGCAAAAATCAGCGCGTCGCCCCCAGTCCTTCTGCACCTGCTCCACAACACCCTTTGGCGAAGGAGTGTCTGACCAGGGATCTGTTTCTGAGCCGCCATAGTTGTTCAGTAGAACTCGCAGCTGACTACCAAAAGCCTCTGGCTCGAACTGCGTCGCATATAAACCCACTCCGAAATGCGCACGACTGTCCTTCAACGATGCGTACACCTCCACCGTGGACTTCCTGCTATCGGTTACGTTTGCGAAACACAGCGAGTCCGTGTAATGGTACAACACTCTGGTAGCCTCGCCTTGGTGCCCATAGGACGTAAGGTCGACCAAATCTGACCAGCTACAGATTCCGGTGTCTTTGTGCTTGATCACTTCCGTGCTAGCCTCCTCGTACATCCCTGCTTGATACCTGGAGCCATTCTCAAAGACATTGCCTTTCAAATACTCCTTCTGGAAGTAGTCTGACAGGACAGGAACATTCGAAGTTTTACTCTCACCATCGCCACACCTCAATCCCTCTGTCTTCTCGGGAGTCGTTTGGATTTTCTCGTTCGAGGCGCCGCTTCCCATCCTCTCAACTCGAAGCCGAGATGCAGCGGCCCCCAACACTGTGAGATCGGGTTTACGGTTTAAGGGTCTAAACCCTACTTGGAGGTTCATGGGTAGTTATGTGGGGTTAAAGTCCCCTCATCGGGGTTCTAAGTACAGTTACCCTACTTATAACCCTACTCATAACTACCCATGAACCTCCAAGTACATTCAACTCCTTGCCCCGAAATCCACAGACCCAGGCTGATCGGGTTTACGATCTAGCGCTTTGCTGTTAAGAGTTCTGCGCGCATGATCTTGTGCTCACACAAGGACCCTTCAGCCTGTCCAACATCCTAGAACGACAGCCAGTCGATCTCGCTCAATAGCTCTTGCGAGCCACATGCCGCAGCTCAAACCTATGCTTCCAGCATCTGTACACCCACATCTGCAACGCATCGCCCCATGCAACTTCTCAAACCCCAAACCCTAAACCCTTAACCCAAACCCCCAACATCCCATACATGGCGGCTCCCTTCTTCCTCAGACGGTCTATGGCCTTCTGCCTGGGGCCTCCACTTGAAACTAAAGGCCCAAACCTTAGACACCGCCGCAATATCGGTGCCTTGATGAATAGAACGAGGTTTCGGGGTGTATGAAATGCTGCCGTATCACTCTGAAGCGACATGTGGAGTACAGGAATGTAATACTTCCACCTAATAGTCACTCCGCGCTTCCAGCAAGTAAAACACCAAATGCTTCGACTGGCGGGGGCTTCGGATCGTTCTCTTGCGGCTCTACACAGTACTACGGTCGATGATATAAATCCTGCGTTACCGTAATGACCCTAAACTATGGGAGTTATGGTACATTCCTCCTTATGGGTAGTAATGCAGGATTTATATCATCAACCGTATCAGGGATGTCATGGTTATAACAGGATTTGGGGGGCCTCCAATAAGGCTGTACTTCTAATGAAGGGCATTACCAGCTCTTCAGGCTCAGCGCCTACTTCTGGGGACCCCTTTACAAGGTACCCTATACCGGAAGCCTATGTTATAGTAGCTCCTTATTCAGGCTCCGTTTGTACTAGTTACAGTGGTGAGACCGGTCGTGGTGCCGGCCGCCATGCGGTGGCCGTGCAGTGCTTGGTGGTGGTGCTACTGGTTTTGGGTTTAGCGGCTTAGGGTTCAGAGGTTTAGGAGTCTTGAGGTTTCGTGATGCTCTTGAGTCCAAAACAAGTTCGCCTGCCACATAACGCGGGATGATACATCCCCACAAAAGATGAAGTTGGCCTTATCAAGGGGCCTGAATAATTACCTACGTACACTATTTGGGGGGGTCTTCATTATGTTGCAGTTTATTTTCCCTAAAACCTTATTCTAATTATTAAGGACCCTCTAGTGCTCACCTCCTAAGACTATGGCGGTAGAGGCCTGGAACTTCTTCTGGAGAAGGGCTGACGAAGCAGAGCAGCCATCTCCCTGGCAGGAGTGTGCGACCGTTTTGGCCGCCAACGTTACCTTGGACTCAGGGCTTCATGGCATGTGGGCTCTTTGCGAGTAGGGCCCAGCTTTGAGGGTTCCCGGGTTGAGGGTTTAAGGCTTCTGGTTTCATGGCGGTGAGATGGAGCAAGGCTGAACAGCTCAGAGATTTAGGGCTCGTACAGCCAGGGGATGAGATTCCAGCTTTACAAGTTGTTGAGATGGGGCTTTGCCCCCTAGTCGTATTGGTGCTACCAACACTGGTGTTGCTGCCTTTGTTGTTACTACCGCAGCACCGCTGTGGCCTTTGCTGCAACTGCTAGTCTGACAGTAAAAACCACTTCACCAACACTATTGCCCTGCGCCTACGATTGAAGACTTTTGTCTTCACTAAAAATCTCAATCTACTGCATTCGCCAGCAGCTATTCAGCGAAGCCACGACGAGTATAAAGTACATCTGCATTGCACCTGCAGGGGAAAAAGCTGGCAAAGCCCAAGTTCTATAAACCCTGGCCCTAAACCTCACAGACTGCCCTTTCCCAAACCCTGAGCCCGCCTGTCGCCATGCGAAACTCCGCACAAGAGGGGTTTTACAGGGTGTTATTGCGTTGTACTTGATTTTGCAATGTTTGATATTTTTCCAGGGTTCTAACGGATTTTGCAAGAGTTTCAGACGGGCCACCGAGACTGTTGCCCTGCGCGTGCGAAAAAAATCTACTCCTTATTGAAATAGCGGGCTCTCACCTTGCAAAAAGACGAAGGGAGAGTCCCTGTAAGGCTTCCAGGTTTACTTTCATACTATAAACCTACTTTCTTGGGGCCTCCTTATCATGATCTTCTTACATAGATTCTCAAGCAGGCAAACTTTTGGGGTTAAGGTAGGGCCAATAAATGCCACAGACCGCAAGGATATGGGTTTAATTGAAAGACGAAATATGGGGGGTCTGACTAATCTTTCAATAGGGTTTCGGGTACGATCCAGATTGGTTTTTCAACAAACTAAACGGGACAATCGCAATTATTCGGACCTCCGTGTTCGGCTTCAGGAAGCTATTCTAAGCTGATTGGCTGCCATTCGTCCCAGAAGTAGACATACTTCAATGCTTATGCATCGGCCAATGTCATTGTTCATCATCGACATCTTGAGCACACAGTGCCAAGCACTCCAGACCCTCGAACTATGTATCCCTACGCTGGCTGCAATCTTTTTCGCCCACGCTCACATGCTGCCCACTTCTGCATGTTTGCAGACGGTCGGCCCTTTCCTGGGCTTCGGTTTAGGGTTTGGGGTCGGCTGAGATATGTAATAGGGGGTCTTGGTCACGGCGTGTCCTATTTGCTAGGCTGTTTTGCTTCGGAAGCTCCGCTTAAAAATTGAGCTCTAAACCGTGTACCACCTCAAATGTTTCTTGTAGGATTTTGCTCCGCCTTTTGCAATGAACCCACCCGGCAGATGAGCCAACACAATATAATACTCGTTCCTGAGAGCACCTTGATGGATTTCGACCTTTTCTAGTGCTAATTTCTCTAAAGCCCCGACATGGACCCAGAAAACCCCTCTAAGGGCCCTTATAAAACTCATAAAAAGGGTTACTCTTGCAAACTAAACTCCTAAACATAACGGAATCCTTAGCTGAACCTTCTCTGCCAACTATTCGGATACCATAAAGCAGCACCGGAAGGAGGGAAGGGAGTGAAAGAATAGGGATGTTCATCCCCAGACACTTGAGGGTTGGCAAACATCTTATAGGCTTAGTGTGGCCTTTGCTTCTTTGTTGGATTAAAGGGAAGCTTTGCGACTATTCATGCGGTATCCTCTTCTGGTTCGGTCTTGTTAGCCAATCTCGAGGTTATGTATCGATCGGATTTAGGTTTTAGTTCAGCCTTGTTCGATTATCTGCTGCTCGGCCCTTCGAGGTTCATAAGATCTTGCAGACTGCACCCAGGAAAAAAACGATGTAAAGGTGTCTTTAGGCAAAGCTGTTGTCGCTGTTGCTTTTTTTCCATGGAGTCATCCACAGGTTGTACAAGGGCTTTCTGGAGCTTTCATGGGGTGCTACAGAAGTTTCATGAGGAGTGCGCGGCGCAAGCGCAAATGCTTTTTATTTTCTTCTTGCCGTTAAGTTTCTGATGGGCTGGTATAAAGGGTTTTCGAGGGCGTTGCAGGAAACGCGAGGGTTTTAGAGAGGTCTGATGAGCTCTCTTCTCGAATAATCGGGCCCAAACAAGTTCAAGCTTTCTTTGATAGACTAAATATATGGGGCCAAAAGCTTAAAGTTCTCCCATTGGTTAGGTAAGTAAGGGCCTTATCAAGCTGCTGTGGGCTTTACAACGCGTTATACGGGCTTTACCGGGTTGGGCAAACAACAAGATTTCTACGACTAACCGCATGCTTCTCCAACTGAATAAAGGATCTTCATGATTCAAAAATATCCCGGGTCGTTTCTATCCCATACTACATACTCGATCGCCAAAAACCTGCTGAACACTAGATCTCCTAAACTCGTCCGTTGGGAAGCAGAAAGCAGGTCTGGGAATGTGCCGAGGGACACAGCCTGCGATGGCGCTTGCGGCTTTTGGGGCGGCATAGGGTCAGAAAATTAGGGGACCCAAGGAATAGGGGTTTTAACCTGGCAACCATGAGCTACGCCAGGGGTCTGGGTTTTGGGGGTCGCTATACGTATGATCTTACCGTTTTGGATGCCGGTTCCTAGCGCAAGCTGAGGATTCCTTTCTTGACTTCAAGGTTCTGGGGGTGGTACAGATGGTATAGTACCCCAAATTAGTAGAGTCCTAATTATAAGGACTCCGTAATGGGTACCCCTAATTTTCGGAAACTCCTCCCAGATGAAAATCTGCGTCAACGGCATGCTGAGCACATGGCGGTTTCGGGTTTCGGGTTTAGCACCCCAAGCCTGCTCAGGTGAGAGCTTCTGCAATGCTTCGGTCAAGACTTCTACACTAAATCTGTACCCGGCTATCGAGCGCAGAAGCCTGGACCCGAAACCGCAAATCCTTGAAGAGGGGTTTTAGGGCTTAGCGGGTTAGCCTTTAGGGTTTAGGGTTCAGAGACGAATGCCCTGCGAACGAGCTGAGGGATGCAACCCCAGGACGCAAGGCCGGCAACTGCTGTCCTGCATGCCAGCATTGCTGCTGCTGCTGTTGTTGCTGTTGCTGCTGCTCCCAATCCTACTTTCCACTCCCACTCCCACCCCGACTCCTACTACTACTACTACTACCACCAAATTTTTCGTATCTAAATAAACATACCTCCGTATACATTCCTAAACGCAGGTAATCTACTTTAGAGCCATCTCAAACCGGGTGCGGCCCCTAAGCCCCAAAGCACTAAACTGGCTGAATAGCTGAGCTGCTCCTACAAAACGGAAACCTAATCCAAGAAAACCCAGATTACATCCCACAAAAAACCTCTATACCCTTACAATCGCAAAACCTTCTATAACATCCTCGAAACTCATTGAAAAGCCTCTCCATAATTCATCAAAAACCCCTAATCTTTATGAAACCCTCTTTAAAACCATGAATAAACAAACATTGAAGACACCAACAAACACTCTAATCTTGTTGAACAGTTCTTATCTGAAAAGCCTGGGCTCGCCCGGCCTCTCGAGGGTACTTCACCAGCCACTCGAGGGAGCCGTTGCGAGGTCTTGTCTTTGCAGAAGGCCTCGGTATCTCAGCCAGAGAGCCCGCTAAATCCCTGAACTCTAAGCCGTGTTTTGGGGTCCTTTGCGGTTTAGGCTTTGAAGTTCTTGGAGGATTCTTATCTGTTTCTTTCATGTTTAACAGGTTCTCCTAGGTTGTTTGAAGGCTCTACAGGCTTTGGCTTTGACTAGAGAGAGGAATGTCCCAGCGGTTCCGAGAAGGGTTTTATACGGCTTCAGGCTGGTTAGGATCAAAGAATATTGCTTATCTTAGAGAATATGTTGATGGGTCTTGAGCATCTTATACGGCTTGATTGAAGTTGGGCTCTCCGCGCGAAATCAACGTTTTTTTCGGGCCTGGTGAGCGAAGCCGCACAGCCTTGGGGTGATGGGGTTAAACTTCACTCCAAGCTTTGGCAGGCTAAGGGAAGGAACCTGAAGATCGCACAGGTTCTTGCAACCAATATGGTTACATAGTTATACATAGTTGTTCAGGTATATCTGGTTCGACATCTTTCCGGGCTGAGGGTCTATGCTTGAAAGCTTCTGAGCTGTGAGTCCCCAGGAGCGGATGGATCTCTTTGGAATTGCCCGGCTGCTTTGCTCGCAAGCGGCTACATGAGGAGAGGCTTTTTACCTTGGGCCCCCTTCAAACAAAAGTCCCAACTCGTAACACTCTAACACGCTAAATACTAAACCGCTTTCACGGCCACCCTTAACTGTAACTGAAACCCAACAAGCCTGAACTCTTAACCCTACAGCTTTGCTCTAAGCCCAAATCCTAAACCCAAGGCCACAACTCCAAACCCAAACACACCCTTCTTGGCCCCGCGACACATCTATGTTGTACTCGTAAAGCGAAAGCCCAGGCCAAACCTGGCAGTTCACCGGGGACTTGAGCCTCGGTAGAGGCAGCAGCATGGGATTTTCCTTACCACAATTCTAGCAAGGGTTACTAGCTATACGGGTCCCTGCGAGGGCTGCAAAAAGGGGTTTGGTGTATGAAGGGACTAGGATGCCCAGTAGCCTAGGAATACAAAGGGCCCCCTTTTTGGTATCGGGTAACTTTATAAGGAACCTAGGACTACAAAAAGGGAATAAGGGCACTACTGGGCATCCTAGTTACTTGTCCAGCAGCCTAGGGCAACTAAAGGGGATTGTAAGGGAGTTAGAACACCAGCACAAAGGTTAAAGCTTACCTACTCTACTGCTAAGTTTTTTGGAGTTTAGGGCTTTGGGGAGAGGTTACGGTTCGTAGGGTTTTAGCATGTTTCGTTGCCTCCCGCCTTGCTAGGACGAGCATACGATGCAGGGTACTTTGTAAAACGCTGGGTTGGGGTTTGTAGGGTCTAGAGCTTACGTCGACGAGTTGGGAGCTTGTGAAAAACGTTTTGATATTTTGAAAGGCCTAAAACACGGCTTAATTGGCTTGCGAAGGGTGCTCCAGGATATTCTAGGGTGCTGGGAAGGGTTCTAGAGGGTTGTAAGCTGTCAAGCGCATTATTTCGTAGGGTTTCATTTCTTGGTGAGGACTGAAGTTGACATGTTTACTATGTCTATCATGCAAAAAAACCATTAAGCTCCGTAGCAAAGGGTGTAGGGTGGAGGAATCATTCTCTGAATCGTTGGCTGTCACGGATGAACCTTCCAAGATCGTATAAAGGCTGTTCATACTGTATCCGAAACCCTAAACCGATCAACCCTAAACCCTGATTAAGCCGCTAAGCCCTGAACCCGACATCCTGAGCCATTGTCCTTTGGATTATTGGCACTCTGAGGTTCAGGCATTCGGATTTTAGGGTGAAGGGGCTTTCAGCAAAAACCCACATGGGAGTTCCAAACAAATAATGTGGGAGATATCTAGGAATTGAAAATTATGGGATTCACTTTCTCCTTCTGGT